CACTGAACACTTACCGAGCAGAGACCCGCGCGCAGCGCATCCGCACACCTCAACACGTACACACTCACTCACACACCACACACTCACACTACTGATCTCTCTCTCTCTGACTCTCTCTCTCTCTCTCTCTCTCTCTCTCTCTCTCTCTGACTCTCTCTCTCTCTAATTCTCTATATATCTCTCCCTCCTGTCTCTGATTCTCTCTGACTCTCTCTGACTCTCTCTCTCTCTCTCTCTCTCTCTCTCTCTCTCTGACTCTCTCTCTCTCTAATTCTCTATATATCTCTCCCTCCTCTGTCTCTGATTCTCTCTGACTCTCTCTCTCTCTCTCTCTCTCTAATTCTCTATCTCTCTCTCTCTCTCCCGTTTCTCTGATTCTCTCTCTGACTCTCTCTCTCTCTCTCTCTCTCATTCTCTATATCCCTTTCTCCTCTGTCTCTCTCTGACTCTCTCTCTCTCTCTCTAATTTTCTCTCTCTCTTTCTCCTCTCTATCATTCTCTATATCCCTTTCTCCTCTCTCTCTCTCTGACTCTCTCTCTCTCTAATTCTCTATATATATATCTCTCCTCTGTCACTGATTCTCTCTGACTCTCTCTCTCTCTCTGTAACTCTCTCTCTCTCTGATTCTCTCTCCTCTCTCTCTGACTCTTTTTCTCTCTAACACTCTTTCTCTCTGTAACTCTTTCTCTCTGTAACTCTCTCTCTCTGTAACTATCTCTCTCTCTGACTCTCCCTGAGACTCTCTCTCTCTCTCTGATTCTCTCTGTCTGACTCTTTCTGTCTGACTCTCTCTGAGACACTCTCTCTCTCTGATTCTCTCTGTCTGACTCTTTCTGTCTGACTCTCTCTGAGACACTCTCTCTCTCTGATTCTCTCTCTGTCTGACTCTCTCTCTGAGACTCTCTCCTCTTTCTCTCTCTGTAACTATCTCTCTTTCTCTCTCTAACTCTCTCTCCTTCTCTCCTCTCTCTCACCGCTTTATGTGGTGATAGAATTGTTTGTTTGTTTGTTTGTTTGTTTGTTTGTGTGGGTGTCCTGTAGTAGTGAGAGAGGTGAGCTGGTGACCAGAAGGAGTGGGTTTATATCTCAGCACTGACCGGCTCTGCTGATTCTGTCCTTTGGCAAAACATTCACCCTCTCCAGCTCTCAGACCGGGATTAGAGAGAACAGCAGGAACTCAATAAAGTGAGTATCAGAGGAGAGCAGAGCAGAATGAACCCACACTCCAACAGCACCGGTACTCCACTGAGTTACTGTTAAAAAGGTCAAGAAACCAGTTAACCCCTTAATTTCAGTGTCTGAAGGTCACAATTAATTTAGTTCATACATTTTCTGATTTACTTCAGCACAAATCTGAAATATATATATATATATATATATATATATATATATATATATATATATATATATATATATATATATATATATATATTATTTTCAAATGGATCCAAATGACATGGCTAAGAAGTAAGAATGTATCAGTTATCATATTAATGTGGTCATTTGGTCACATTGGGACTGAATTTCAACAAAGCGACAGAAACAAAAAACAACTGTGACAGAAAGTGTGAAATAAACATGTAAAAAATGACTATGTAGCTTAATTAGTTCTGTTTAATTGGATTTAGTGCAGAAAGGGGGTGTGATGTTGTTTAAAATGCAGCTTTTTGATGGCAGTTTTTAAATGTGGCACTAGCTGATGTAGCTATGGCATATAAAGAAAATGAAGTAACCGAATGTACTATTTTCTGCCATTTCCTCCTGAGACCCAGAAAAATTAATGTTTGAGAATTTCAGATTCTATTTTAAGATAAAATAGTAAATTGGCTGAAAAATTATTCGTCACATTTATTTTATTTTTTTTTAAAAACACTTTTTGTTTATTTTTTATGTAATGTCCTTTATAGTGGGCGACAGGACGTTGCATATTAATTATGTTGATGTCATATTTCTTGTTTACTACACTGCATCAGACCAAGACCTGCTGCAGCATCAGCAACAACTTCAAAAACCTCTTCATCAGTCTTCAAAGTCCTGATCATCAACGTGCTGCTCAAAGTGATTCAGGGCACACAGTCAGTTCGGCTTTGGGAGTCATTTAGCAGCAAACTGTTCCACGGTAGGGATGAATAGTAAGTATGAATGGAGAGGAAAGAGAATTAGTTTATTTTTAATGTTTTAATTTTTAAATGTAAAATTGTGTAAAAGGAGATTTTCAAATAAATTAGGAAATTTAATAAAGGTCAGATCTCGAGCTTAAATGCAGGCAAACACTTATTCCAGATGTCCATTTAGCAGTAAAACAAAAAATATTGGCGGTACAAAAAAATGAAGAACAAAAGAAAAAAATAGATACAGTAAAATTACAGTAATGCATTTAACTGCTCAGCTTACATGTTGTTGCTTTAACCCAAACTGGATCAAGAGGAGTTTGATCATCCTTTAATTCTCTCTGCCTCAGTTTCCTGTCACCTGTGATATCATGAATTTCATGTAAAACAGATTTAAGTCCCAGTGTCCACCACAGAGGACATCAAACAAAGTATGCTGTTATTTGGTTAAACTTTTAGGCATATCAATAAAAAAACACTCTGAAAATGAGCTAAAATGTTTTTTTTTTATCTAAAACATTTTAACTATGGGCTTTAGAAACATCATAAATGCATATTTTTCACCCCTTTTCACTCTTACACCCATAAAATGTGGTTGCTGAGATGGCAGTCATTTTAAAAAGGCAGAACTCCTGTTGTGAATGACACACCTGGACAAACGAAACATCATTGGAAAGGCCAGGATGTCTCTACATAGCACACCAGGTTTCAGCACTGTAGCTTATATGGTTCTTTATCATTACTAGATTCAGCTCCTGAACCTGACTGAGCTAAATCAGCTGCGGAACTGCAGTGGAACATCTTAGCAGTATGTACCAGTATAACTGAGACTTGTTTGCCTGTTCTTCCCTTTTTGAGGCAGTAAAATAAATGATACACCTCAAAAGTGGGAGATACAGCAGAACAGACGCTGCCATTAATGTGATGATTGAATGCAACACAAAAAAAATGTATAACTAAGCATTAATGACTAAATGCAGAGTAAAAAGTAGATTATTAATAAATATACTTCAGCACAAAAGCTTCAGCATTTGAAAAAAACGTTCAGGAAAGATCGATTAAAACTTTACTCCAAGTAAATATGACCCCTCATCTCTTTATTTACACCGATCAGGCATAACATTATGACCACCTCCTTGTTTCTACGCTCATTGTCCATTTTATCAGCTCCACTTACTATATAGGTGCACTTTGTAGTTCTACAGTTACAGACTGTAGTCCATCTCTTTCTCTGCATACTTTGTTAGCCCCCTTTCACCCTGTTCTTCAGTGGTCAGGACCCCCATGGACCCTAGCGCTAGTCTGAGTGGATCAGACACAGCAGTGCTGCTGGAGTTTTTATACACCTCAGTGTCACTGCTGGTGTGACCACTGATGAAGGACTAGAGGATGACCAACACAGACTGTGCAGCAGCAGATGAGCTATCGTCTCTGACTTTACATCTACAAGGTGGACTGACAAGGTAGGAGTGTCTAATAGAGTGGACAGTGAGTGGACAGTGTTTAAAAACTCCAGCAGCACTGCTGTGTCTGATCCACTCAGACCAGCGCAACACACACTAATACATCACCACGTCAGTGTTACTGCAGTGCTGAGAATGATCCACCACCCAAACAGTACCTGCTTTGTGAGGGTTCATGGGGGTCCTGACCACTGAAGAACAGGGTAAAAGGGGGCTAACAAAGTATGCAGAGAAACAGATGGACTACAGTCTGTAACTGTAGAACTACAAAGTGCACCTATATAGTAAGTGGAGCTGATAAAATGGACAATGAGCGTAGAAACAAGGAGGTGGTCAGAATGTTATGCCTGATATGCCTGTAATTTATTTATGACAAAAATAAAGCCATTATATTTTTTATGTTGGAATTACATGTTTTTATGTGAAAAACAGTCAAGCAGAGCCTGTTTATATTAAAGAGAAGCTCATAAATGCTTTGTATGTCAATTCAGCTGTTATTAAACATGTATAACAGCATTATGGTAGCTGTGTATTTTCAACACACAGTTATTCAGGAATAAGACTGATGGACCGTGTGTGGGTTTTGAATCACATTGATATATTGCCACCTAGTGGTCAACACTGACTGGTGATGGGTGCATAGCAAAAGAACACAATGACTTCACATAAATTTAAATATTTTATTCAGACAGGATTCTAAACTGCAGTCTTTAGAAATTATGGCGTTTTTTTGATAAACTTCATCCTTCTTGAATAAAATAAATGCTCTTTATTGCATTGTTTTGCTGTTAGAGTGGACACCTGAAATTATCTATTTACAAAGAGAAAAAATTCTTTTCAAAACAAATCTATTCAAATTCATTTTGACAGTGAACTCGGGGAGCTTTCCTGCCCCTCCCTCCCTCCCTCCCTCCCTCCCTCTCCCTCCCCCAACACCGTCCCCCCGTCATACAAATTTCTCACATCAGTAAATAATTTGTGCTTGGTACAAAATACGTAGCTTACATCCTCGATCAAGTTCATCAAAGTTATATCAATTATTATTACATGGGTGTATGTACAAAAGAAATGGCAGTGGGGGGGCGGGGCTTGTGTCATGTGATCTGGTGGGGCGCTTCCAGCATCTCCATGAGGAAGGTGTCTATGGGCGTGTCTCCGATCAGCTTGAAGAAGAAGAGGTGCTCCAGACACTTCAGACCGATGGAGCGCAGCGCGGGGAGGCGCAGTAAGAGCTTAGCAAACCTGCCAAGGCGCGCACACACACACACACACACACACACACACACACACACACACACACACACACACACACACACACACAGAGTATGAATGCTGATCTACAGTCAGTTCAATATGTCTATCAGAACAGAGTGACACTCACTGGCCACTTTATTAGAAACACATATGCTCACCAGACAAAAAAAA